GAAAAAAAAAATGATCACTGGTTCACTCAAAGCTGCACTGGGTGACTGTTTCTCCTAAAAAGGTTTGAACTCTCTGTTGGATACTCCCTTTTGCCCCACCAGCTACAGGTACATACCCCTCCCCCCTCCCCCCTCAGGCATGCCATTCAACATAGATACTGTACTAAAAGAAGACCACTGTCAACCTTATTGAAAAGTTACCGAGTAAAAACATTGTTACTAGGAAAAAGAAAAACCATTCTACTGAAGTGAATTATTGCAGTATCCTTCAAATTTTGGTTCCATTGCTTACATGTATTGTTTCTAGTAACAAAAAGTGCAAGTCTTTAGATGAAAGTTTCACGTTACAGAACAAAAACTATCCTTTCTTTTTCCAGGGAGGCCGTTTTCTCCCAACAACTCCCTACCAGGTAGAAATTTCATTCAAGTTTCATATTACATACTTTTTGTTTGTTTTGGCCATGAAGACCCTCTCTCCTTACAACTTTTAAGGATCCTAGAATCAAACAATGCAAATATCCCTTATGCACAACTGTCTTACAATATAGATTTTTATGCTCAGCAAGGGAAAATTGGCAAAAAAGTATACTTCCAGTCCTTCACACATAATTGAACTGTCTATCCCCTACTACACAGAGAGAAATAACTGGCAATGTAATTTTGCTTATCTGTGCAAATTAAGTTTGCTGTCATTAAGTTTCACAATCCCCCATAAGCAACCATGCAGTCTGTCTGGAGGTGTGCTGTTACCACCCCTGAAATCCCCTTAGCAAAACCCTTGCATGCCTCCCTCTAAAACAATAAATTATGATCACAGCAGTTGCAGGCATGTGGTATCTTTCTGGTATACTATCGTACTCAAAAGAGACTACTAGTAATAATAATTGATCAGCAAGATTATTGTTTTGGTTATGATATTGTTCTTCTTGGCTGTAGCCCCTCTTAATATCTCCACCTCTCTTGGGGCACCACCTCCCAAAGCAAACGACCTATTCTCTGTCACATTTTTTCTATTTTATGTGTTTCTTACTCAATAAAATACAGTTTTAGAGATCCGGTAGAAAGTGCTGTGAGAAAAAGGGTAGTTCTTTAGGATGTTTTACTGCCCTTTCCTAATAGTACCACCTGTTCTTTGAGAATTCCTCTTTCATCAACCATTTAAAAAATTTGATATCTAATTCTCTTAACAAAAGCTCACGCTCTAACATTGAATAACTCTAATATTTCTTTACTCTACGTTCCTTGTAATTCTCTCACGTGCACTAAAAGAAAAATCCTGGATCAGCAAACCTACTAACCTTAACTATGCGACACCATGCCAGAGGGTGTTCGAACAGTAGAAGACCGAGCCCCTGCAAAAACTTTACGTCGAGTGGCAAAGCCTTCCAGCTGTTAACACTTTAAACTGTGACCACAAGCTTTTTCCCCACGGTATTTAGCTCAGGATAGGCAATTTTGATTGACGACTTCGATGAATCGGAAGCCGCAAAAGCCAAACTCTTGAGTGACGCACGATTACAAACAGCAAAAGACTCGCCATGACATTCCTCAAAACCGTGCAGTTGAGTGGAAGTTTCTGCAACTTTACGGGGCGTGATAACAACCTTCCAGCGGTGAACACTTTAAACTGTGGCCATCGGCGTTTTTTCCATTCTATTCCGCTCAGGAAATTATATTTTGATTGATGAATTCTCTAAATCAGAGGCCGCAAAAGCCGCAAAACGTTAACGACACTCGTTTTGAAACATCGCAAGACTCGCCATGACATTCCTCGCAGCTGCATGATATTTATCGTTAAAATAATACTAAAACTTCTTTGTTTGGTCATGACATTTGCTTGAAAGGCCGGCTAGATACCTTTTCAACATTCTCGGCATTCAAGATACAAAATTCCGTTAGCCTTTGGGTTAAAATAACGAAGAAACCAAATAGCACTGGGCGTCCATCTTTGTGCCTCGCGCGAAAACAGAGCAGCAACTCTGAAACCGGATGTGATGTCATAAATCGGTGGATCATAGGTACACGAAATTTCGCTAAGTCGTGGGCCCCCCCCTGTTCTTTATACAACGATGTAAATGTTACTCCCGCTGCGATTGGTCGTTGCCCATGATCTATTGGAGTGCAAATACATGCATGGATGACGTCACTGGAAAATTGTTTTAATTTGCTTTGTTCAACATGGCGCGCTGTTTTGAATATGCTTGTGAGATTATTTCGGATAAAACAAGTGAAAGCCTCCAAAAAAGTTTAGCAGGAGCTATTTACAAAGAAGAAAAATGGAAAAACGGAGACAAAAAGAGTTCTTGACGACTTGAGAATGCCTAAACTGCAAGAAATCTTCACAACAGTTGCCATCGTGTGTCATCGCTCCGAGAGACTCTCTGTTTCGCAAAATATTTTCGCCATTAATCTGCTTTGAGTTAGAAAAGACGCTATAAAAAACCTTTCAATGAAACTGTATACAAAAAAAATAAAGAAAAAAAGACGAAAGAGACAAAAACTAGGGCTTGGGACCTAAATAATATCTAAACTAGCACAAATCTTGGATGAAGAGTCAAGCGGTACGAGGCAAGTATCTGTATTGGTCTCTTTCCTTTGCTGATCATTGTATAAAACAAATAGATTCCATGTTGCCGTGGGTCTGTTCAGTAATATATCACAGAAGACGTCAAAATGTAGTAAAAACATCAGTGACACACGCGTCTGCAGCTCGTGTGCCACTTCTTTGTTTTTACCACATTCTGACATCATCCGTGACCTATTACTGAACAGACCCATGGTAACATGGAATCTATGAATTATTTTGTGAAACTTTTCCCCGAAGCAGCCGTTACGCGCGTGTCACGTGACATCAGTTCGCCTCGAACAATCTGAATGCTTCAGTCTTAAGTAAGCCAGCGCCCTTGTTGATTCCACTGTTCGAAGTAATTTTGCTCGGTGACTTCAGTCCAGTATGAGTGGGAGTCTGACAAGCTGGGTTGTCTTCTTGCTTCTAGTTTCGACAGTTTCTCCGATCAAAGGTTAGTAAACGCGCCTAGAAAAATAGAATAGCACACGAAACATGAAAAGTTTGGCGTCTAAACTGGGCCTACATACAGTACAAGTTAAGTGTAGGGACAGCAGTCTGTAGTGTTAAAGGAAAATGATTTTGCATTGGCTTACTAAAAAACTGAAAGTTTAGCTCTCAGTGTCTAAGTGATAAATGTTTCTTTCTTGGTGACTAATTTATTTTTCTCCATTTAGTAGAACTAAAATTTGCCATTATCGCACAACTAATTTTAATTGCGGGCCTACAATAAGCTTGAACTAAGTGCCTTAATGACAGCCAAAACAATTAACACATTGCATTCGATAGTGACTTTTTGAATAAACATTGATAGCTTTTCTGCGTAAATTAAAGATTGGAATAAACCTTATTTACTTCAAATTGATTGCGATAACGTCTGTTACTGCCTTAAATAAGGAAACATAACAAGCAAGGTAGTCCTAAATTTGATAAATTCTAATTTGAACGGTTCCTGTTTTACTTTTAGCCTGCAGCTTAAATATTCAGTTCTTAAAGTGTCCGAGAAAACTTTGCCTTTGATGCTTTGCACCCGTCGTACACAAATTAGAATTATGATTTCTTGATCAGCAAATTATCTGGGCTTCTAAAAGAGTGGAAACTGGGCTGTTCCCTAAGTAAATCAGGTTTAAATCTTTAAAAGTATTCCTTACGTAACTCGACACTGAACGCTTTCGCGGTTTCCGAGAAATCATGCATGCTGCTCGAGTGGTTTCTTGGAAAGCTCAGCTGGATACAACAAAATAAACGATAGAAGACAACGACATTATCTAAAGCCGCTATCCTTTCATTTGTTTTGTTTTGTTACCTTTCCAACTTGAATTAATCTCTACTCGCAATGCAACCGTCGATGTCATATGATTTCTTTGGGTTACTGCTGGGAACTGTTATCAAATGGACGCTCTCCGGAACAACTGCCAACACCCTTGTTCTGGTTTTATCCTGACCTGTGTGGAGTCGGGGGTATGGGCTTATGTTTTATCCATTTTTTGAGAAATTGAAGAAGGAAATTTTTTTGTCTTATTCGATGATAATTTATTTAAATACATGCTGAAATAAGCCAAACAAACCGCCCAGCCTTCCTGTTGCACCGGTTGACTAACTCCACTTCGCCGTTCGCAACTTTTAAAAATACGCAAAAGAAATAATAGTCCTAGGGAATGTGTCCTCATGAACTGTTGGAATACTACTTTAGACCACATTTCAGCAACGGCAACGATTATTCCTTTTTTTTTTTTCTCGTCAAGTCAACCTTCATGACAGTTAGGCCATACTTTGTTTTAATCTAAAATTGGTTTGACGTTTTCACTTCCATGATGTTCCCATTACTTATTTACTTGTTTAACTGAAAAACATCCTCCTTTCTGTACCTTTAGTCGACCATAGGTCAGAGAAAAGCCAGTGCTTTTCATAGTATTTCACTGAATACACCAGGAGAGCCCATGGATAATTTTTACTTGGCGCACTCTTTAGATACTGAAGTTCTTGATCTCTTTCGTTTTCTCTTTCGTTCTTTGCTGTTGTTTATTTTCTTTAACCAATAAACAATTTTATATCTATTTCATGTTATTTATTCATTATTGATTTTTTTTTCTTTTGATTCATAGCCGCAGGACTGTTCACCGCTGCCGGCGTAACCGCGGGTTGGGCAGCTGCAGCGGCAGCTGTCCAGTCTACAGTATACGAAGAAGCAGTTGGTTCTGACACTGTAATCGCATGGCTGCAGAGTGCAAGAGAAGACAAGGAAAGTAAAAGCGACTGTTGGTGCTTAAATGACTACAAGTTTGGTATAGCAGTAGGAGCAGGAACTGTGGTAGCAGCTCCCATTGTTCTGAATGCCGCAGGATTCACCGCTGCCGGCGTAACCGCGGGTTGGGCAGCTGCAGCGGCAGCTGTCCAGTCTACAGTATACGAAGAAGCAGTTGGTTCTGACACTGTAATCGCATGGCTGCAGAGTGCAAGAGAAGACAAGGAAAGTAAAAGCGACTGTTGGTGCTTAAATGACTACAAGTTTGGTATAGCAGTAGGAGTAGGAGCTGCGGTAGCAGCTCCCATTGTTCTGAATGCCGCAGGATTCACCGCTGCCGGCGTAACAGCGGGTTCGGCAGCTGCAGGTGTCCAGTCTACAGTCTACGGAGCAGCAGTTGGTGCTGGCAGTGTATTCGCAGGGCTCCAGAGTGCAGGAGCCGCCGGAATTGGCCTGGCGACAAACGTGGGCATAGGTATCACTGCAGGGGCGACGGCGACATTTTTGAAAAAAGCATTCTACCCATGTAACTCGGAGTTCACATCAGATAGCAAGGAGTGAATCACCTGTGGATTTCGTTTCATTTTGTTTGTTTGTTTTGTGTAAAAAAAAAAAAACAACAAAAAAACCTGAAGCACGTGAAAACATGAGGCAAAGACTCTGGATTAATGTACTTCTCTTTTTGTATGACACATTTTAACCAACCATGCATACTTTTTGAAAAAAAGTAACACTTCACTGGACAGCTTAAATACACTTTTTTAATTACGTGAGAACCGTCCGGTTTGTTCAAATACATTTTCGATATTAATATACACTAATTAGTGCAGCTACAAATGAATTATCTTTGATTAAAATAAAAAAAATGTATTCTTAAATAGACACTATGCCAGTCATTTAAACGGGGTTGAGCCAGTGTTGAGCAAAACCGCGTTCTAAGCCATTTTTAGCTCGCTGAACTCTTTTATTTAAACGGCATTTATCGTGAACAGTTTATGAAAGCCAATGGCGTAGACTAGAAAAGCATTTGTCTTTCTTTAAATAAACCCTTTAAGAAAGATATCTGAAGGTCCGAAGATTTCCTAAACCGCGATCTAAGTTAGATTTCGTTTAAATAACCGATCTACTGTGTTCAATAAGTGTTTAATCGTATTTTGAACATTTTGAAAACTGCATTGTCTCATTTTATTAAGCTAACATTAAAACGAGAAAACTCTTTGTTAAACTCTTTAGTTTTGCATGCATGTTCTTGTATCACACTTTTTTCCCATTCCAGTTTGTCCATGGAAAGCTCCGGGTCCACCACCAACACGGCGCTTATACCCGTGAACCAACTTCTAGAGTTTTTTTCGGTTTATTTTTCTCATATGTATTTCATGAAAAACTTGGGCTTTTAAGCAGGAAATGTTTCTATATGGTTTGCACTGAAAGAGGTCCCTTTTATTAGCACTCTAATTCTGGAGTCTAAAGATCGTTTTATGAGGAACAAGCCGCAATACCAGTAGGTTGAAGGTCCAAACATTTGCGTGACTTGCTCTGGGGTCAGTTTATTTGCTTTTTCTGCTCCTTTGTCTGAACCAGCTTCCTCCGGTTGGGAAAGACAAAATCTTGCTTTACAAACAAACACGTCAGGTTTCGAACAAACCCTCATAAAAAAAACAAAAAACAAAACAAACAAGAAAAAAACAATTGTATCTCCCATGAAATACCATGAGGTAATGCTCTAGGTAACAATTATCTAGATGATGTTTTTCATCTTGCGTTTTATTGTTTCCTCCACAGCAAAGACGATGAATGTGAGGTATTTTGTACAAGAATGAAATATATTTTGTATATAGACCGCTAGAATATTGAAGACTTTTCGAAAACCAAAAAGTGAGAGCTTTTCCGCTATCAATGGTAAATTTGTAATAGCCGATTACAGGGATATTCTCTATTTCGATGAAAACTTGTTTCCGATATGCTTGCATGTACAGTATGGAATGGTTTCACTTTTACAATACCTAGGATCGCTGCAACAGATTTTAGAAAAGCAAGCCATAACATCAAATCACCACGTGCCATCACCTCTCGTAAGCCAACACCCATCCTACAGGTGGCCGCACAAAACATTTTCTTAGAAATGTTGTATATTTTCAAAATATTATTATTTTTCCAGTCAAAGCCTTACAGTCCGAACCTCTCGTATTAACGACCACTTTTTAGGATGACGGTTTTAGAACTTCTCACTCTTTTTAACCTCTTCTAAGCGACCATTTGATCTAATGGTTTGGACAGTGTTCGCTGTGTTGATGTACTACGCTTACAGAGTATGAAAAAGTCTTTTAGAAGCAACACAGATTCACACGGTGGCTGGAATCTCTCAGCGATCGTACCGCACAACCCATCCTCGGTTACCCAATGACATCTCGTAGGGACCGGGACGGCATTTTCGTGGGTAAAAGTTCACGGGACAGACACGAAATTGCAATCGTCCCGACAGAATGCGCCTTGGGCGACGGTCTTCGGGGATGTTCCGAACCTAACCCACTGTAGAGTGCAAATTTGAACAGTTCCGGTTTCACTTTCAGCTGACGAATCTTAATACACGCATACGCATAGAATTACGACTACTTGTGTGAAAAACACAGAGGACAACAGGAGATATCGAGGTGCAAGGTAAGGAAGACAAAGAAATAAATCATGCAGGGAAATAAATTTTGATTTATCTCCAAAAAAACTGCTAGATATTTTCACCTTATAAACTGTCGGCCACAGCTTTGATCTCCTGCATAGATAGCGCGATTGGGATGCCTGTGATCTGTGACAGCTTGTATTGTTGAGGCCTAGGACAATAATAATAATAATAATAATAATAATAATAATAATAATAATAGCAGCAGCAATACGTTCTCCACTTCAGAAACTGTAGGGAGAATGTGTACAAGCTTTGGGTACAGTGATTTCTGGGATTGTTTAGGTGGGTTAGTGTTAGTCATGATTCAATCGATGGTGTTTAAGCGCAACTATTATCAACCAATTATTATTCATGCTTGTCCACTCGATCTGGCCAGAAATTGTCTCACCGAAAGCTTGTACCAATCCCCCTTGACGTCTGCCAATATTCAGTTATTCTCTCGGTTATAGTAAGATGAATGAAATCTCTAAGCGTCCTGTCGCCGAACCCATTAGTCGGTCAGCCGATGACATCTTGTCGGGACGAGGATTTTTGTGGGCGAAGGTTTACAACACTGACAGGAGATTACCCTTGCCCCGACGAATTGCCCCTAGATATTCCATGATATCGCGAACCTAATCCACTACTAATACAAACTTAAACAGTTTCAGTTTCTCTTTAAGCTATCTAATCTTAAGAAACACGCTGTCGCATAAAACAATGACCACCTGGTGCTTGAAATTACAGAAGACAACAGAGGATATAAGGAACAAGGAACACTTATAAGGAAAGAAAGAAAAATGGGTATACCCTACATGGAAATAAGTTTTGAGTTAAAATGTCCTTGATTATACATTTTCCCCTATTTTCTACAGCCTCCACTAATACCTCAATCATAGTGCAATTACCCTTGTTCGTTACGCCAGATGAGCGAATTTCACCACCAAGCCTCGCTTTGAAATTGAAAAGTTGCGAAGTTTTGTGTTGATGAATTCCCAAGGCAGTTAGAATTCCCACTTGCAAAAAGAGCAAATGCGAAGAATGTTGCTGACAAATGAGGCCTGTGAAATTTAATAGTCTGAAGTAATCATGCATAAGGAACCACTACGACCCTTTAGTTCATATCCTTATTTAATACTTGAGGCCTGGGACAATACCTATGCTCAGACTCGTTCCCAGTCGTCCTCGGCGATTTCGGATGTGACGTCACCTGTTGTACTCGGTTCCAAGCTTCCTCTAGTAACTCGGATAGTGCGAACTGGCCTGGGTACGAGGCTGACCTATGCTTACGCTGCTGACAAAATTAGCCAACCAATAAGATCATGCCAGCTCGCAAGTTTATTCAACAAGCAACATTCTGCTCAAACGTTTTACGGAGCTGCAAGCCTAAATCAATATTTTGAGGGAAAAAATGGATAAAGTGTCAGTTTTTTGTATCTGTCTCATGCTTCTAAGTATGTACCAAGTCGAAGTAAAAGGTGAGATTAATTTTAACAGCTTACGTTCGGTGAAACTACATTTTTTGCTTACTTAATTATCGATGCAGCCGAGCGATTTTACACATGAACAGACAGTAGTATTTTATCCTTTTAACAAACGTCAGTGGAACAATGACTTTGACTAGGTTGACTATCTGTGTTCAGGAGATTGTGATTCCGGGGTTTCGAATCTTCTCTATAGAATTAATATAATGCTTAGTCAGGAATTTGCTCCTTTCGGTACACAATATGAAAACAACACAGAATAATCGAGGGTAGTCAAAACAGATAGAACACTTAAAGCATAGTAAACCACTTCACCACTTCCGGTACTCACGAGCTAGTAAAATGTTTGCATTTCTGTTAATCTGCATTTCTCAGAGGATAAGATCAGTGGCTTTCTCAGTCAAAACTATCGGATGTAAGAAGTAAGGTAACATCATGCATTCTCCAGTGCTGTATTTGTTTTGTCCCTAAAGATTAATCACTCGTTTCTCAGAAAAGAATCTCGAATTCTCGGAAAAGAGAGCCCTGAGAGATGACAAAAACGCAAAAAAATCATCTTTTGGCGTTTCTCTTTGTCTAGTTGATGCCACCTATGCAATTTTATATTCTTTTTAAAGCTAAGCGGAAAGGAATTTTTACCTCCTATCTTTGCTTAATTTTTCATCAATTAATTTTGACAAGAGCCAAATTATTCTCAAATGAATTTTGTTGACTTCAATGGTAGCTGAGTTTTTCTTTATCTTTTCATTTTTTTGATGATCTTACGTCCACGTACTACCGAAAACGGTCATAGCAACGGAGTTTGACTTTGCTCTATGCGGGCTCCTTGGTCGTCGTGATTGTCCTTGTCAAGGGCTGAAGCAAGCATGCGCAAATTGTTTGTGTACCCAATTTTTTTGGAGAGGGGGGAGGGGGGGGGGGGGGGAGGGGAAGGATGGAGTGCATTATTTTCGTTCCCCTGTTTTTGATGTGTTTTTCACATTCGGATTTCAACCTTGATAACTTGTTTTTTTTTTTTTTTTTTTTTTTTTTTTTTTTTATTTTCATTCGCAGTACGTCCGGGCGTGTATCGTTGTCTGGGGTGTGTTTTGTTTGTTTGTGGGTGGTTTTTGGGTTGGTGTTTGTTTTTGTTGGGGGGGATGAAAGGAGGGGGTTGTGTTTTGTTTTTGGTGGTTGTTTGGGGGGGGGGGGGGGGGGGGGGGGGGGGGGTGAGGGGAGTATGGAGAGCTTTATTTCTCTTTCGTTGATACTGAAGTTGTTTTTACATACGGATTTTCACGCTAAGAACGAGACCGGTAAATTCATATCCATCATCTGTATGGTTCGAGTCACTCGACCCCTAATTTGTCACACATTCAAATTAAACCCTTCGCTGTCCGAGTTTACCCCACCTTGTCAATTGCTTTTTAGCTGTGTTTTCATTGTCATTAAGACCAAGACTAAAACAACGAACAACTTTTCTTCAAGGTTGTGTAAGAGCTGCATTTTAAAGTGACTGGATAACTGCGTATTTTACCTGCGCTCAACAAACTTACGGTTTCACAAAAACGTATTAGAAGACAAGGGGTTTTTCGAGATGTTTGATATTTTTAATGTTCTTGTTCATTTCTGAAGAAATTAAAGTAGAGGGTAGAAACCTAAAGACAACATCAACAACTCGTGTTAAGACTACAAATGGACTACTGCCTGGCTTGAGACCAAAATAATCCTCTTGCTCATGCAGGCTATAAAAAAGTGACAACAAAAAATATGTAATACTGAAAATGACAATAATAATAATAAAAACAAAATAACAGGACTATTCATGAAAACTCGCATACTGTATATTTAGATTTTTTCCCTTGGCGAGAATTTTATTTATCACTCGATGCAATACAAATAACTGCCCACAAATAATGGTCCGCTCATGCACAATGGCGTCCAACTGTGTTAAGCTGCAAATAATATTCTGCTCGTGCGTAAATGAAACCTCGCTTTTCTTCTTCTTGCGATCGCTTAGCGTAAAAATGCACTTACCGCACTTCCCGAAGATGTTCATTGAAAAACAAACTCCGTGACAGAATGATAAAACAATTTTCAACTGGATTATCACAAAATATCGTGATTTGTCTAGCCTGCGTTGCTGGCGGTATTGTGTGGGCGCGAGATTTAAGTTTTGGCGGCGGAGCCGTGTTCCAAGAAAAAGGAAGTAGGAACGAAGCGGTTGAAAACTCACAAGGTCACGTTTTACATTATCACGAGCTTAGGAGTCGTATCTCTTATTTCTAAACTGTCTCGCACGAAAATAATCGGAAGTTTCAAATTGCAGGTTTCTCTTTGATTGGCTGATTCAATTGGGATCAGCTAAGGTGACACAAGTGGGCGGCATTCGAAAAATCATGGTTCTCTGGCAGACGGTATTTCTCGCGGCTTCGCCGCTCGTCACGGCTCCGCCGTCAAATCTCACTCGACTATATTACAACGGCTCCGCCGCCAAATCTCACTCGACTACTACACAATACCGCCAGCTACGCAGGCTATGATTTGTCCGAAGGCTGTGGGAAATAATTGATCTACTAGCCACTGACAAATCACAATATTTTGATAACCTCGCCCAATAATGATTAATTATGTACTAATTTTTATTCAATCTTTTTTAATTCACTACGGCTCATTTTGAAACCTCCGTTTCCTGCGATACATATCAGGAGAAGACAGTGACAGCGATGGAAAAGGTTGGTGCTTCTTTGAGTACGTCATTGGTGCAGTGGTGTTCGTTTTAGTTGTTGTTGCAGTTCCTTATGTCATTGGCGCCGTTGGGTTCACACCTGCCGGAGTAGCAGCGTTGTCGATTGCTGCATATGTGCAGTCCGTCTTCTATGGAGCAGTAGTTGGACCAGGTTCTCTCTTTGCGTTTCTCCAGAGTGCTGGAGTCGTCGGACTTGGCTGGCTGTCAAAACTGTTTTTAGGTTCCACTTTTGGGTGGCTGGCAACATATTTGCCAAACATGGTCTATCGTCTGCTTTATGGGGAACAGGAATGAACATAAGAAGACAACTGAAGAGGTGGCTTAGACAATCTTTCTTGTAAAATATCACAAACTACAGTATTTCCTCAAAGTTGCAGCAAGCACGAACCCTTCAGAGTTTTTCTTTTCTTTTCTTTTCCTTCTTTCTTCTCCATTTTTTTAAAGTCGAAATGGCAAATCTACATCTTACATTAATTATTAGCTTTTGCAGGAATTATAATTCTTGCAATGTGTCAGGTTTCTTGTTTTTTTTTTTTGGAAACAAAAAACGCGATTCGGGAAAGCAATGGAAAAAGTGCTCAGGCATGCAGGAATTTCGTAGGAGCGGGATTGCGGGAACAAAACACCCCTTTCGGACCCCTGTTGTTGATGACTCTAGGAAGCTTCATGCATTTGTAGTTGGACGTACAGTGACTCTTTTTCGGTTGAATAACACCAAAAAATGGAGTAATGAAGTTGTCATCATGGAGTCCATACGAACAGTACCGTGTAGATTAGGCAACCGTCTTTCGAAGACTAAAAATCATGGTATTCGTGACGGTGTTTGACTTTAAACTGCTAAAACGCTCAGCATCCATCCATTTCCCATGACAGCAAAAACTCTAGCCTGCATGCGAAAACAGCCGTCTCTCCTCTCTGCTCGCCTAACATAAACTCGACACCAACCATCAATCTCGACAGAGAGACGACATAGAAGTAAACAAAAAAAAATTTAAAAAAGTACGGAGCTTTGTATCATAGTTATTTAGTTTATTAACCTGCGAATAAAGCCCTTTCGTCTCGCTCCTCGCTCTCCACCGCGAAACGTTGTATTTAACACAGGCGTCCCAAACTCAATATGTGCGCGCATGTTAATGCTAACATTGCGTAACATAGCGTTTTATACGGTTTATATGCATGAGAAAAATAAAAATAGAAATAGAAAAAATATCGCCTTATATATATCTTAGCTTATCATGTAGCAAAGAATTACAATAAGCTTACTTTTGCTGTATTTTGTCCGGCCTGTGTCGTTTTGAAACGTCTCGGGCTGGTTTTGCTATCCTGTCTTAACCTTCTAATAAGGTGATCTTATGAACAGAAGGAGGCCAGAAAATGCAAATTCGTTTTTCTGTTTATTTAACCAGCTTCAACTTTTTCCTATAAATCGAGATTATTTGCGAGAAAAAAAGGGAGTAATATATAATCGTGCAAAGATTAGGCTTAGCTACGATAATCCTGAAAAATACCTAAAAATTTATTCCGGATAATACCTTGAGGTGATGCTCTAGGTAACAATTATCATGTAGGGTGATGTTGTTCATCTTGCGTTTTATTTTTGCTACAGCAAAGTCAATGAATGCTAGGAGACGAAAACCATGCAGTAAGAGTTTTGTTTTCGATATCAATGATAATGTTGCAATAGATGCTTACAGAGGGTCTCAACAACTCACTTTGACGATGAAGATGACTACCGAACAGGTTGTCGAAACGTCAGCCACAGTCAACAACATTACATTTACTGTAATTTTAGCCTCGATAACTCGAACCTCCCACTAACTCGAAATGATGTTTGTTCTTCAGGTCTTTTTTATACAATTTTACCCTCGACAAAAAAATAATAAATACATAAAAAAACGTATTCTGAAGTCCTAGCCTGAATTTTATCCGATTACTTCAAGTTGTTATCACTCCCTCAGTAATGCGTTGTTGAGAGGAGAAAACGACTCGAAGCAGTCGGATGAAATTCAGGCTACTGAAGTCCGAGACCTTAAATTTATTTCAAAGCAACTGTGTCAATTCTTTGTCTTCGTTTCTGTCACTCCAGTTGAAATTCAGGGTGCGTTTCGTTACTAAAATCCAAATCCGGATTTTTAATCCAAAAACGGATATATCGTTTCTTTACTAAAATCGAAAAACGGATTGTTGATCCAAATGATCCACAACGCAGGTAGATTCTAATTGCATTGGATCATATCCAAAACAGGATACTTTGGATACATGATCCGAAACACACGTTTTTTTACTAAGGATCCGAAAAGAGTGAATACAGCCAGCGGTAACTCGAAACAATTTTAATGCATACAGCAGTTGTTTGACAACACTGCTCATCTTTACGGCCATTTTTGAACTCGAGACATGGATTAAACGATCGATTTTATCGGTTTTTTCGGGATGGTAAAATCGCAATACAAACAGGACCTGCATTGTACTAGTTCACCAGGACAAATCGAGACAAAACTGTAACGCAACTTCGCCAGCGCGTCTTGCAATATTTTACTTTTCCAGCAGATATGAATTTTATTTTAAGACTCATCTTCACTTCGCCCGTCTAAAGCATATCCTTGAGCTAATTAAACCGTCCTCTGATACAAAGAAATATCAGCAAATTTGCAACATCATCAGCAGCCGTGTTATTCTTTCTCAAAGATACCGTCGATATTGTGGTTCGTTTCTATGGAAATGAATAAAAAACAATCCTTTTTTGGATACATCGTTTCTTTTCTTAACGAAAAATCCTAATGATCTGGATATTTCATCCGATCTTGGATTTTAGAAAAGAAACGCACCCTCAGTGTCCATTTCTGTATACTTTGTTGCTTAATTACATCCCCTCCTCCCATCTATTTGCTTACTTTCTTAATTCCGGTTATTTCCTTCAAACTCCCGATAACACGAACTTTTTTCGATTTCCCTAAGAGGTTCGAGTTATCGGGAGTCAGCTATATAATGCAAATTTGAGCAGTTCCGGTTTCACTTGATATAGCTGATAAAGGAGGGCCTTGTAGACCTCGTAGACTGAGCTGCAGAACTGAAATCAATATTCTGTAGATAATGGAAGCGGCATCAGTTTTTTGTCTTTGTCTTTTGCTTGTAGGTATGTCTCAAGTCCAAGTTAAAGGTGAGATTTATTAAGCTGACGCTAACTAGGTGGGAAAAACATATAGTTTCCCTCAAATTGCTTGCCATTTATCCTAACAATATCGGTGTCTCTATTAGGGAAAATGACAAATATTACTATCAGTGTTTTCTTGAAAAGATTACTTGTCGCAAAGCGAATTTTTTGGTCAGATAGACTGATAGGTTATAATTTTTCCGTGTTGAGGAAAAGCAGGAGATTCTACAATTACTGCTTGTGCATGTTCAAAAGAAAAAAAAAACTTAAGGATAACAGGTGAAAGTGAATAACGGCTGTGTTAATTTAAACTAGGGACAAAATAAGACAACACAATGGCTTCCTTTGTGGTTTGGTTATCCCTCAATGCTATCATTTCCCACAATTCGACATTCTCGGGTCATTCAGAATGAATTTGCTCTCTATGTAAGAAGCGGAACCTCAACTTAACGCGCCATTTCATGAAGACAAAGGATCGCAAAAAACACTTTGTCCACCCAAACTTAGTGAACATCATTTGACCTATTTTTAATGGCGATATAAAAGCAATTTTCCCATAGGTTTGCTTAGCCTTTTTCTTAAGAAAAAAAAATTGCGAATGCTTATATGTATATTAAGTGCTCTTTTCGAAATCTTTTTTGGGCCTGTAACGATATCCCCCTTCACCCCTTGTGTTCAAACTTCAAAACGCACTCATCTGACAAATCAAATGTCTCGGCACAGTAGCTGACCATTTTCGATATAATAAAATTCATACTTGGCTGCGAGGCTTGGGGAATAAAACAAAGAAATGTATTATTTATTGCTGAGCATAGTGCATGCTGTTCGCACACATAATACGTTCTCAGTCTTTTTATTCCCCCCAAGCCTCGCAGGTAAGTATGAATTTTAATATATCGGAATTTGTCTATTCAATGTCTGCGATAAAAAAGTACTTTAACGACTGTTATGAGGACTACTCATGCGCCGCATTTTCCCGTAGTGAAATATGCACAAAAAACAGTTACTTTGTTTCCTTGTTTTGTTGTTGTTCTTATTTTTTTCGTCTTTGTAATTCAGTTATTGCTAAATCTTTATTTTGTTTTTGAAACATCTTTTTCTTAATACATATTAGGAGACGACGACAGTAAAAGCGAGGACAAGGGCTGGTCCTTTGATTATGTGTTATGTGCTGGCCAGCAGCTTACAATTGCTAAACTTGCAGGAGTTGTGGCTATTCTCGAAGCGGAGCAAGAGTAGCTTCTGGTTCTCTGTTTCGATTCTTCAGAGTGCTGGAGCCGTCGTATTTGGCTGGCCAAGACAACTGGCTATACCTTTGATTTTTGGGTACCTTGCATGGGTATATTTGCGACCAAGCATCTGTCTATTTCAATTCTTCAGTGCTACAGTCATCGGATTTAGTTGGCCAATACAACTGGCTATAGCTTTGATTTTTGGGTGCGTGGCATGGGTATCTTTGCGACAAAGCATGCTCTATCGTCTACTTCAATTCTTCACTGCTGGAGCCGTCGGATTTAGCAGGCCAAAACAACTGGCTATAGCTTTGATTGTTGGGTGCCTAGCTTGGGTATTTTTGCGTCCCTGAAGCATACTCTATTGTCTATTTCAAGTGGAACAAGAATGAACATAATCTTGCAGCCACCAAAAAGCTAGGCCTTCCGCCCACTTTCTTTCACCTACAAGCATGGTTATGTAAATAATAATAATGATAATAATAATAATAATAATAAAAATAATAATAATAATAATAATAATAATAATAACAATAAATAGTAATAGTTAACACTACAGCTGCCCCTAATCTGCATATTGTCGGTCAATAGTTTTCTTGCTCGTTGTGTAGCTCTTTGAAATATACCGATTCATAATGAAGATTTTTACACACATTCCATACAATTGGTGATATATATACAGGAAACGCAAGGCTCCATGCACAGTTTCAGTTCGATTTACACAGCTTTGATCAAAACATTCTCAGTTTCGAGAATAGTTTACTTTAAACCATAAGAAAAGATTTAATTAGAAGTTGAATTTTTCGCTATTTCTTTTTCACTTTTTACATTCAGTTCATTTTATTTGCCGGAAAGTAAGCCTCAGAAATTAAAAGGACGTTTGATCAATTCACGCTCTCGCATTTTAGTCTCATTTTAAACTTTATAGCGGAAGGACATCTGTGAGCAGGGAATAAGTCAGCACAGAATTTGATTGTCGGTGAATTTCTGTAATCGTCCATCGTTCTGATAGTGATAAGATAGCTGTTGTTCACTCGTCTTGCTTGTTTGGGGCTGAGTCTTACTCCGGTCAAAGAGAGAGAAAGAGTGTCTGGCAAGGTTTCCAATCAAAGATTTGTGAACTCGTGTCTGGCAAACTCTCCAAGTGTTTAATATTTTGTACACAATTCATACGCACCTTATAATTTCATCTGCGCTTAACGAGTACTAACGAGTGTCGTTTGGTCCATAACTTTCAACACAACTGCTCCACAGAATGTTGTATCGAAGCTTAAGTATGACTCAGCACAATAAATTGCACAAAATCTACTTAAGCGGTCCCTTCGGGATTTTCTGTCTTTACGTCATCCTAACCAATTCGTACTTGCGGGCGCAAACAATCCACCGATTTCTCGCGGCCTTGTTCAAGCAAATCGAGATTTTTTCTGGCATACTGACTGTATATTTCAACTGTAAGTACTTTCCTTAATATACGTGCGAGTTACTAGGGTGCCTCCTCGGAATTTCGCTTCTGGGCGAAATCCCTGCAGGGGCAATAATAATAATAATAATAATAATAATAATAATGATAATAATACACTTAGCAGTAGGCTAATTTGCCCTTTTTAGATACCGTGTGATAGTTCTGCGATTTCTGTGATTTCTGGGTTTTGGGGGAACTCAAGTAGATTAAGGCCTGGGTCATTACAGAGTTTTCAGAATTGTTAAAGGGGGGTGGTATAACGTAAAGTATTTTCAAGATATCCCGTGACTAACAATTTAAGGCCAATCATAACCAAGAAATCTTCCA